TGCGCAGAAAAACTTGGTGGCGGGGGGCGGCGGCGGCGTCGGCCCGCGCGGAGGGGGAAGGCACGGCGCGGGCAGGCGCCCCCTCCCGACCGCCAGGCCCAACCAGGCCGGGCCTGGTGCGCGGCTGTCAGTTCGTCAGGAGGCACCGCTACGGCCAGACAGCTGCCCGCTCTGTGTCCGTGTGTCTGTGTGTGTCTGTCTGTGCGCGCTCTACTACAGTGTTGTGCGTTGTGTCGTGTGTTCGCAGGAAGGAACTTGTCAGTGCAGTTGTGGAAGTGCAGTGAGTGCGAGCCCCGTGCCAAGCGAGTGTGACAGTGTCCAAGCGCCCCCCGTGACTGGTGACTCCGTGCGTCCCTCTCACGGCTTCACCACGTCGAAAAGAAACCGGCTCTTTTGCGCCGACGGAGGAGCTGGCCTCTCGCTGAGTCCTCCGGCATCCGCGCCCGCCACCCTCCTCGCCTGCTCCAAGCGACCCCGGCTCTCACCCCCGGAAGCCGCCGTCGCCGTCGAAGCGACGTCTCAGCAGCAGCAGCAGCCCGTCGAGTGCCTCAGCATGAACAGCCTGGCGTCCAGCATGGAAGCCCCCAGCGTCCTCAGCCAGAGTATGGACTCCGTCAACACCGTCCCCGGCGAGGAAGAGGTGAGTTGAACCTTAACTCGGTTGTATCGTGTAGCGTTGTGTCGGTAGGTGTTAAAACTGAAAAGTGCCTAGAGTGTAGGGGATGATCCTGCAGGGTTTCCCAGGGAGTCGGATAGTGCTCGGCAGGACAGCCAAGAGTTCTCCAGAAGGATCCAGTCGTGTCCTGGAAGACCCAGTAGTGTCCTGGAGGTTCCAGTAGTGTGTCCTGCAGGATCGAGTAGTGTGTCCTGGAGCATCCAGTAGTGCGTCCTGGAGGATTCGCAGTAGTGTGCCCAGGGAGACCAAGCTGCAGAATCTTGTATGATCCGGTTGTGTCCTCTGAGCGACCTGGAAGGCGACTTGACGGCGGGCGGGCCCCTGGTGCTATACCGTCCGCCGCGTAGGCAGCCCGCTCCGCAGCCGTGCCGAGCGGGCCGGCCGTATCCCGCTGCAAGGCGTTTGGCTCGCCGCGCGTGGCTTATGCTCCCGTGTCCCCCCGGCACGCGGCAAGCTGGAAAAGCTCTAGTATATTCTTTATAGCCCCTCTCTTCTCAACGCACAGATCTTTATCTTCCGTAGCCGTAGCCCAGTAGAAGTTGACGGTTACTTATTCTCGATGGAAGAGAGTTGATACATTTCTGTGTAACTCTTTGGAATGAATCGTGTAACTTGTTGCAACCGGGTTTTCACAGAACTGCCGCAGAAAATGACTTTTCTGACAGATAATGAGGCGGTTGTTTTGGTAGGATATGAAAAGTTTGGCGGGCGGCGGCGTCGCTCTTCTGGCCGCGGCGCGCTGCTGAGATCGAGGCGATAACGGCCCAGGCTGCTCCAGGCTCATTAGGCGGTATGAGAAATAATATCGTACGCACTCTCCGCAAGCGGACCAAGGGAAAAAAATCGCGTTCAGAACATTTTTGTTTGACGAGAGAGGGGTACGGTGAAAAGTCGTCGTCGAAATGAGTCGTTGCACGCGGGTATACCAGGTGGCTGATTCACGCCGCGCACTTTTGTACTATGCAACGCGCCCGCACGGCTCCATCCGGGACTGCATACCCATCAGGCGCAGGGGACCGGCTCCAAGCGCCAACGCGTCGCTCCACCCCTGTTGTTGGGGCCAACGCCCAGGGGCGTTACTAGGGGTTGTTCGCGGTCTGGCGCGAGTTTCCGCGAGTCCGCCAGGGGTAACCCTTGAGTCCACGGGGGTAACATGCGGGTCCGCGGGGGTGAGTCGCGGGACCGCGGGGGTAGCTCACGGTCCGCGCGACCGCGGGGGTTGCTCGCGGTCCGCGGATCCTGCCACGGGGGTACCTCGCGGGCCGCGGGTTCAGTTAGCTATCCCCGTGGAACAGTGAGTTACCCCCGCGGACCCGCGAGTCACACCCGTGGAACCGCGAGTTACCCCCGCTGACTCACGGGTCACCCCCGGCGGACTCGCAGGAACTCGCGTAAGACCGCGAACAACCCCTAGTAACGCCCCTAGGTGTTGGCTCCAACAACAGTGGTGGGGCGACGCGTTGGCGCTTGGAGCCGGCCCCCTGCGCCTGATGGGTATGCAGTCCCGGATGGAGCCGTGTGGGCGGGTTGCATAGTACAAAAGTGCGCGGCGTGAATCAGCCACCTGGTATGTCACGGGAAGACATGCTGGCAGGAAGTGTCCCCCCCGAAGAAAAGAATAAAAGAAAGGAAACCCGCTGTCCAGAGTCGTTGAGACTTACGGACACTTTACAAAAAGAAGCGACCGAAATATTAGGGCAATGTTGTAAAAAGTTCATAATATTTTTCATTTTGGTGGTGCTTCCTGCTTGTGCTACAAGGAGTGGCAGCAGCAGCAGGAGGGAGAGCGAGGTGCTCGCCCCTGTCATATAGAGCCGCCTCTCCCCACCCTTTTTCCCTCGCCCTGCCCCGGTAACTGAAGCAATATATCGCGACAACATGTGCCGCCCTGGCCGCCCGTCCCGTCCCGCGGCAGGTGTACCTCCGGCTCCGGCCTCCGGGCGGGGCGGGGCGGGGCGGGCGGCCCTCCGGCTGCTGCTGCTGCTGGCGGCGGCCTGACGCGGAGGTGGAGGTGGAGGTGGAGGTGGCAGTGCAGGAGGCCCGCCCCGCCCCGCCCCTTACCTTCCGGTGCCAAA